CTGCTGTATTACTCAAACGTTTGAAGAATTATTTATATGTACAACAAAGGCTGAAAAAATACTTTAAGTCGGAAAGCTGTTGATGTAAGACGATTAAAGTCAAAGAGAGTTATCCGACGAAAACGACTTCGACCACCTTCTATACCACCAAAATATTACTCAAACTTAGAAGATGCGTCCAACTACAACAATGATAGAACATCAACTGTTGCTGCAAATATTATACCAACAACCATGTCATCATCTGTTTCCTCCTTTAGCAGGTCTCCTTCGTCAACAAAATCTACAAGTACAGGTTAGCCTGAATTTTATTATACTACACTTCCCAACAACATCAAAACTGTAACAATTTTGCTGAGAGTCAATCCAAATTTACCGCCTCACTTTGCTTCAAATCTCCAACAAATACCAACACCTATCAACACTTTTTCACAACCTGTAGACACCAAATTGCTTTTACCTGACCAAATTCATAAAATGATATAAACGACTAAAATCCAATCCCATATCAAAGATGTAGAAATAAAACCCTTTTGACTAGAGGTTACAAAACTAAAATGCGTCAAATCCCGAAAACGCTCCTTCCTCCCACTGACAAAGATATTTACCAAAAAGTTTTTTTTATAGAATTCTTTTGAGTTTCCAAATAAAAACTGCGAGAAAAAATTTTTTAGAAGTGCTCTAGAATTAGTAATTTTTAATAAAACCTCGTAATGAAACTTCACTTTACATGTCAGATTTGTTGCATTTGTACTATCAAGTGAAAAATAAAGACAAAAACAGAGATATTATCTTGTTTCTGTAGTCTTTCAAACGAAAAACTTCCTTATTTCTCAGCAATCCTTCACTCGAATAAAAAACTTGTTCAAACATAATCACTCAGTAAAACCTCTATTGAAACCGCTCTGTTCATTTTTTTATCAATAGAGTAACATTAAAAGAGTCCCGTAAGCAATGAATGTTGTTGTATCTTTCATAAAAATACAGTTAAAAGTTTTTTATGTTATTTTTTTTACTGGTACGGCTATTTCAAAACATTCTTTCAAGTGAGGTGTAGGTTCATGCCAAACGCCATAATTTATTCATTTCAACTAACACTTAGAGTAAAAAGATATGTTTGTGTTTATGAAATGCAGCAAAACATACGATATCTATAGAAAAAATATGATTTATTCATTCATTAACTAATTAGAAAAACCATATCACTTTTTAAAATAACCTTCTGTTTTCCCGTTTAAAAATAATAAAGAATTAAAATAAAATCTTTAGCAATCCTATTACATCTACCGCACCTATTTTAAAATCATAGCACTCAAAATCTAGCTTTGCTTAAAAACACTTGAAAGCAAAAAGCGAAAAGATTAGGAAGAAAGACAGAAATAAAAAAAATTTTTCTGTAAAAAAAAAGTAATTATTGTCTAATAGCAGCAACAGTAGCTTCGTTAATGAAAACACAAACTTACAGTGTCCAAAAACGTCGTAATAATTGTTTCGATGTTACAAATTAAAAACCTTGTTTTTCGGTGATCCACATTTTTATTTTTTTACAGAAGATCACGATGCAATTAATCAGATCAGAGGATACTTGAAAAAAAACTCTCAAGTTTCTCCTGCAAGTAAGTTTTACAAATTTAATAATTAAAGCGTTACTTCCCCCATTCATTTATATTAATACAGTTGGAGCTAAAAAACCAGTGATAGAAGTTTTGACGACTAAACCAGTTCAAATTTGAACCAAAAGTAGTAAAACTAAAATCCCTTAAGAGCAGTTTGGCAATAAATTGTCTATTAAGTTAAGGACAAAGACAAAAATTGCAAAGTAAGGTTTTGATTTTCCGAGTGCTGCTCCGCTCATTTACGTTGCTTACCAACACGAAAACGTATCAGCTTTACAGCAGAACAACACTAGCCAGCCATTTTCTCGAAAAATTTTTAAAAAAAAATTTTTATTTACAAGACTTCTTGCCACACACTTTTACGCTAAACATGCTTCCCTCACCTTAACATAGTTGTTTCTTACTGTTTGACTAAATAGGGACTGTAAAAGTCAAATAAGAAGTTATATAATATTAATATGTTCAAACTACATTTTTCATCAAAAAAAATTTTGACCGTGCAGGCACTGTACTGCTTCTTGCATCTAGAACACGAGAACAATTCCTAAATAAGTTGTACCGACATCATCAACATTAAATATACCTCTCCCGTCTCCTTCGAGTTGTTCAAAAAAGATTGAACCCTCTATCACTGTAAAGTACCAAAAAATCACTAAACAAGGACTGTGAAAAGCTTAAAGGCATCTTTTAAACAAGTTCAACGTTATTTCAGCTATATAAAGCTGTTTAAACTTCATAGACTGGCCTTCGCACGATAAAATCATTGCCCTCTCGTTTTAGCACGTTCGATAAATCAAGTTTTGCGTAACTGACACTTTTTTGTTATTTCAGCTAAATTATGCGACCTGATTTTGGGGTTATGTCCGCGAATACGTGAACTTCTAGAGAAAGAACAAGAGAGACCGCAACCATGTTAGCTGCTCAAATTTCAAAAATAGCCGTGAACTGCTGAAATTCTAAAAGTTACAGGTTTCCAAAGCAAACATTATTTACTACTATATGACAATTTTAGGTATTGGCGAGTACGGATCAGAAGTAGTTCCTAAAACAACAACAACAACAACGACAACTACCCAAGCTCCAATCATTCCATGTACCGCTCCTTATTATCATCCTGAAACCAAAAAGCCAAAAGAATACAAGAGTTTTACTTATATCCCGTATGGTAGTACAGCAAGTTCTGAAGGAATCATGACTACGACACCCAGCGGACCTGAAGGGGGAACGGACACGCATCAAGCAGAAAATACGCCAGAATTTGGAGCAACAGATGTCGCAAAAACTGAATGGGATGTAACCGAACCAACATACTATAGTAGGATGACAGAAAAACCATCGTCTGTAAGCTTCCCAGAATTAACGCCACCAAGTGCAGAATTTGTTACTTTTGCACCTACTGTTCCAGCAACAAAAAACGGAGCATCATTAATAACTTTTGCTAAAACCTCAAAACCTTTTGCTGAAACAGCGCAGCCTGTAACAAGTGAGAATCTTTACTTCAAACAAACTACACCATTCAGTCCAAACATGAAAACAACCTCGTTGCTCTATGAATTAGAACTTCCTGAAGACATGTTAACGACAACACAGAGTTTACTTGAAACATGGGAAACATCAGCAGAGGAATCCACAACAACTAGTCAGCAGCTTGCCGCAGAAACCACTTCATTTGACTTACAAAGAGCTACGATATCTGAAACAGGTACTACTTCAGACCAGAACATAGAAGAAAGTTTACCTGATAAAGGAAGTGGAAAAACTGTCCACAGCAGCGCAGAGTCCCAATATCCTGCAAGCAAAATACCAACTTATTATCAAAGAAATAAATCAACACATATGCGAGACGAAAATTTATCAACTGCTTCAATATTTTCTGGAAAGGAGATATACTACAGAACAAAAAGCCCTGTTACGGTCCACCCGACTCTAATCCCGACAGTTGAGTATGAAAAATATCCAGAAAAATTGTCTTTTACTACTGTAAGACCGCTAGTTCAACAAACTGAAGGCTGGAAAGTTGAATCTCGAAGTTTCAATGGAAAGCAAGACCAAAAATCATCGAATCCTAACAATTACTGGAGCAAAACAAATCAGGTTCATACAACTAAAATCACTTCATCTACATCAAAACCTGAAAATCCTAATGAATACAACAAATGGTCAGTTCCGTCAAGTCAGTATGAAAGTAATGAAGGATGTACCGAGGAAACTACTGCCACTGTAAACGATCTGTGGGAATCAGCTACAGAAAAACCAGAATCAAGCAAGGAAAGCAAAACAAATTCAGGTTATCCTACCTATGACAAGACATATAAAGTCAACCAGTGGATCACTGAATCACCCAAAATTCCCGAACAAAAGATATGGATTACAAAAACAGAATCTCCGGAGACTCAAGGTACGTAATGACAAAAATCCATAAGTGGCAACCTAACTAAATCGACTAACCAATAATATAAAAATATATGGCAATTAAGATCATAAAGCAGAAATTAGTTGTAACATTTTTAGGTACGCCAACGCCAGTGATAGGGGTTAGTCCTGCGAAAGAGACTTGGAATAATGGTCATGGTAAACAATCTAGCTCAGAAGAAGAAGAAACTGAGAAAACTACATCTAAATATGACAAATATAATTTGCACTCCAATCAAAATCGGGCCAAACCGTCAGTGCCAGTGTCTTCTACGCCATCGATTGTAACTGATAATTGGATAACTGTCCCAGAAACTCAACATTATGAAGGAGCAAATGCCCAAGAGTTACAAAAAATACAGCATAATGGAACATGGAGCCAAACGTATAGCGTTAATAAAAGCCCAATGACTACTACCACACCTTACTATAACAACTGGAAAACCGAAGTTTCCCTTCAAGAAAAAGAGCGTTTAGGAGTTACTGTAATCCCATTCAGTACCTCAAAGAAAGTGAACGAAAAATCTAAAATAGAAGAGCAACAAACAAATTTAACGAAGTCATCAACCTTACCTTCATACGACTACAGATGGAGCACAGAAGCAAGAACAGAAAGTAAAAAAACACCTGAAGGAGTAACAATGAATTACCCATCTGCTCCGACCCGCTGGTACGTCATAACAGGATCGCGAAAAGAAGGAAAAGATCGAGTAGGCACGTCAACTTCGTCGTCTCTATCTGAAAGGTGGTACAGTAGAACAGGAGAAGAGCAAAAACAAAAGAGTCGAGAAGGTCAGAGTCCAGCAGAAATAAATTCATCGTCCAATCCATATCGTTGGTACGCGACAGCAGAACAAAATAACAGTCAGCTAAAAACATCTACCCCTCCCTCTGTGTATAACCAGTGGACAGCGAAATTACCAGGAGAACAAAAAAGTGACCGGCTGGAAACAACAGCAGCTTCTTCATCAACTTCGGATCGTTCATACAGTACAGGAGAAGACGAGCACGACAGCGAAGAAGAAGAGGTAAAACTACTAAATGAACCGACAACATCTACTTCTATTTATAGCCGATGGAATACCGGAACAACATCTGGTGACCGTTGGTACAGCAGAGGAGGAGGGGAAGAAGAAGAAGAGGAAGAGCGACTTGGGAAAGTACGCACAGGAAATTCACCTTCTTCTTACACCTATGATCAGTGGAAAACAAAAACAAAGCCGGGATGGCCGCAGAAAGGTGGAATGATTGCTACAGCTCATCCATCCACCTCAGACCGTTGGCACAGTAGAACAGGAGGAAAGGGAGGTGAAAATGGCGGAACAGAAACATCAACTTTCTCTTCTATTTACGATCAGCATACTGTTGCAAAGCAAGAAGAAACAGGAAAAAGTTGGGGTGCTACAACACCTCCGTCACCTCTCTTTGATAAATGGCATTCTGGAACTGGACAGAGTGTAAAGGACAATGACGCAGAGCAAGCTACAACATATTCCCCGACTTACGACAGATGGGCTACCGACAAGGCACAAGAAGGGGAACGAGGACGTATACCAACAACAACTTCCTCATCAGTTTATAAGCAGTGGCACATTACAAAGGAACCGCAAGAAGAAAATAGTCAAGAAAAACCATCAAGTGCTCCCTCTGTTTACGACGAGTGGAATACCAAAACAGAGTCGTTAGGAAGAGGAAGGGGTAATTCAATGATAACAACCTCCTCTCCTGGCTCTGGTACATGGTATTTCAAAGCGGGAGAAGAGCGGAAGAGCAATAGTGAAACAGAATTGCTAGACAAAGGAGTGAGGCCAGGAGGTCAACAAAAACACATCTCAGTGGCACCAACTCACTCAACTATTCCTAGCCGCTGGTACGTCGTAACCGGATCACAAGAACAACAAAAGAACCAAGAGGCAATAACTACCTCATCTGCTCCTGAGCGCTGGTACGCCAGGACGGGATTAGAACAAGAAAAGAGTCAAGCGGAAACAACTACTTCCTCCTCTCTTTATAATCAGTGGGGTTCCAGAGCAGAGTCTGAAGAGAAAGAAAGAAGTGGCATGTTAACAACAACTTCCTCCCTTATCTCTGGCGCATGGTATTCCAAAATAGGAGAAGGGGATGAGATCAAAAGTGGAACGAGTTTGTCAAGCGCAGAAACAAGGCCTGGAAGTCAACAAAAACCTGAATTAGTGACAGCAAATCACTCATCCCCTCCCAGTCGTTGGTACGTTATGATTGGATCACAAGAACAACAGAAAATTGCCGTAACCACCTCGCCTACTGCTGAGTTACCCTCAGTTCACGACTTGTGGAGTAAAAAAACTAATTCAAAAGAAGAACAGACAAGTTATGTTGCTCCTACAACTTCTTCGTCAATTCCTGAATTTAGGTATAGCAAAGAGGAAGCAGAACGGCCACAAAAAGAATCGGTTGCAGCAACAACCTATCCGCCTATGTATCAGTGGGAGGCTGGAACACCGCAAGAACAATCAGAAAAGAAACTGGAATCACCGACAGCATCTTCATACGTCTATGATCGGTGGAATAATAGAGTCTGGAAAGAAAAAAATAAAGAACCTGACGCGACTACAACTTCGGCGTACAGTAAATTTTATTAAGTAGAATCGGACTATTTAATATATAATTTTCAGAATTTGAATGCTTAAACATGGAAATTATTTAGGATTCGGAGGTGACGAAAGATCAGGAACTACCAGTTACCCAGATATAAGCAAAATATGGAGTAGCGGGCCAGAAAGTTATGAAACCGAAACCAAGGATGATTATAGATTTATTACTACGGGAGCAGTTTTGGCAACGGTTACTCCAGCAGTTATTACAGAACCAATGCAACAAGTCGATAAAGGGGATAATTTTGGCAGATATAGCGGATACAATAACTATTATTCAATAACAAATCCGGAAGCAGTTACAGCTTCCAATGGTTATTCAGCGGAAACACCTGCCTTACAAAGACCTTATCAGCAAATTTCAGAAAAAGCACCGGTAGGAAGTTGGTTAGTACAAGTACCAGCAGCAAATCGTTTAAGCGAGAACGAGAAAAAATTTAACGCGGTCAGTTTTTTCTTACTGGTGTGATCTACTTTTTTTTTTAATAGGGGAATTTCTTCAAAACAGAAAGCAGCTTTTTGCTGCACTTGATTACATGCAGTACTTCGTCGTCTAGACATTCTCGCGCTTTGAAAAGTTATTTTGCAAGAAACTTATCTAATCATCCACATTTTTTTCCTCAACCAAGTTAT